AAAAAAAAAAAATAGGAGGAGGAGACTGGGGAGTAGGACATTTTCTTTCCACATTCTTTGCAGTCCAGGTACCTTGTATAGACCCCCAGGAAGACACTTATAGGATGAAGGCCTTGGGAGGCAGAGTATAAAACTGTTGATGATGGAAATCACATAGTGCTTTGGATATGAAAATTTACTCTCAATATTCTCTTAGAAACCAGACAACCCTTCACGTGTCTCTCTTCCCCACTATCCACTCCACCTTTTCCGGGGTCCATTTTCATTTTACTCTGGATAGAATTGGACAGCCCTTCTGCCAAAAGTTACCCAGGCCTTTTAGTGTGTTCTGGTCCATTGAGACCACTTGCTCCTTTTTTGGGAGGTTTTCTCCTCTGGCCCTGCCCTTTGCTGCCATACTTAGAGGCAATCTGATCAGGTTGTTTTCTGCTTCAAGCCTGTTATCTGCTCAGTCAAGGTCAGGTACTTCCACAGAGTGACAGCCAGGTTACTGCTTTTGTCCCCACACGCCCTCTATTTGGTACTCTCTTGATTTCCCTTTTTAAAGCGCTGGAAGAACTCAGCCATTATAGTTTTTTTTTTTTTTTTTGAGACAGAGTCTTACTATATCGCTCTCTGTAGAGTGCCCTTGCGTCAGAGCTCACAGCCACCCCAAACTCTTGAGGTCAAGCGATTCTTTTGCCTTAGCCTCCTGAGTAGCTAAGACTACAGGTGCCTGCCACAATGACTGGCTATTTTTTGGTTGCAGTTGTCATTGTTGTTTAGCAGGCCTGGGCCAGGCTCCAACCCACCAGCCTTGGTATATGTGGTATAACCACTGAGCTATGGCGCTGAGCCACAGGATTGTTTATTTTTTAAGCCCAAGTCTTCAGGTGGTGCCTGTGGCTCAGTGAGTAGGGCACCAGCCCCATATACAGGGGTGGTGGGTTCAAACCCGGCCCTGGCCAAACTGCAACAAAAAAATAGCCGAACGTTGTGGCAGGTGCCTGTAGTCCCAGCTACTCGGGAGGCTAAGGCAAGAGAATTGCTTAAGCCCAAGAGCTAGAGGTTGCTGTGAGTGGTGACGATGCCACAGCACTCT